CTGTCCCCCTTTGAATGTATTTATGGAAGGCCTTTCTTACGCACAGACATTGTTATAGATCCTGAAGCCTTGGAGTTAACTAATTATGTAACTCAGCTCTCAGCTTTTCAACAGGCATTAACAGAACTCCAGGAGACGACTCCTGACCCAGCCTCTGAATCCAGCAAGCCTCTATTTGAGCCAGGAACTGAGGTCCTTATAAAAACATTGGGATCTGGGGGCTCATCCCTCGAGCCCCTCTGGGAAGGCCCTTACCAGGTTATTCTTTCTTCTCCCACAGCTGTCAAAGTGCCAGGAATTGATTCATGGGTGCATCACACTCGAGTCAAGAGATGGCACCCTGACCAAAACTAAGTGATGTCATTTTATGTCTTTACTTTCTATGCTCTGGCTTTGTACGTTTCAGATGGGCCTGATAATCTATGTGAGCCTACTTCTGCTGACTCCAGAAATCCTGAGTCTGCCATTTGATCCTCAAGACAATGCCTTCCTGTCCTGGGCTCACTCCTATGCTGCATTCCACAATCGGTCTAACTGCTGGGTCTGCGGAGCACTCCCCACTTCATCAGTGGAAGGCTTCCCGTGGTGGACATCTCCACTTCAAGGAAAAGACTTTCTCCAAGTCTGCGAATACCTTCAACAACAATCACATGTGATGCCTCTTCTTCGTCTGGTGACATCTAACAACCCTAGAATGGACTGGTGTAATACTCTGTACCTTAACTATGGACATAATGTGACTTTTAATTTTGATTATACACTGTCTCAGTTTAATGACTATTTTGCTGCACATAAGACCAATAGGTCTAGATCTGATGGTTTTTTACCTGATGTTTATCAAATATGGGATGAGGTTATTTGGTTAACTCCTGAAAAAGGACGTCTAATATCTACTGCCCCTATATGCTGGGAACAAACTGAGCCATCCCCCAAGGTTAGCCAACAACTTAATTACAATGATTGGAAACAATTGGGATTTTTGCCTCAAGAAATATGTAACGTAATCATTCCCGTGTTTTCCAACCCCAGTTCAGGACCTCCCTTTGCCTGGCCAGGCACTAATTGGGACTGGATATCTCAGTCACGCTGGCTTGCTCCAAACGGGACTTATTGGATATGTGGCTCTTACCTATGGGCTTGGCTTCCCCCTGGCTGGATAGGGAGATGCACCCTGGGTCTAGCATTTACTCATGGCTTTATATTTTCAGAGCTTCCAGAAAAGCCTGCTAATTTACCTCACCTTAAAACTCGGTGGGCAAGGTCTGTATTTCACTGGTATGATTATTTGGCTGCAGTGTTTGTCCCCTCTTTGGGAACTACAGATGTTATGCTACGAGTAGATGCTTTGACTAATTTTACTCAACAGGCATTACAAGATTCTCAAAAAGCTATTTCAGCTCTTAATGCTGACCAAGCACAAATTAGAAAGGTGGTTTTACAAAACAGATTGGCTTTAGATATTCTGACAGCTGCACAAGGAGGAACTTGTGCCATCATTCATACTCAATGCAGTACATATATACCTGATATGAGCACTAATGTTACTCATTTTACTAAACACATGAACAAGATGATTGGGGCCATGGATACTCCTGAAGCCTCAATTGCCTCACTTTGGGAGACGTTAACTAGTTCCCCATGGTGGAAATCTATCTTAATTACAATAATTCTGATTGTTTTGTTTTTGCTGTTTGCTCCCTGCATCTGTAACTGTGTAACTGGATTTGTTTCTAGTCGCATGAAAGCTTTTAAGTTACAAATGGTTGCTCAAACTCCTGCTATCACTGCAGCTTCTTCTGACTACTATTTGGGGCCCCTGGGTCAGACATCCTCACTATGAGGATTAGGAGAATATGTTGCCTCACCAATTTAGGGACAACGCCCCTTGTCAGCTTGGAAGCAGTTATGAAATGAAAATGACGCCCGTTTTCCCTAGGCAACATAATTCTCCTAAAAGAAAAGGGGGGAATGAGAAGGTAACAGGCAGGAAGGCCAGGGGTCTCCAAACAGAGGAAAGAGGCTGCACATGCCAGAACTTTTTATCTCTCTTAAGCGGCAGGAGGAAACAAACCAGCGATATGTTTTTCCTTCTCTATACAATTTTTTTTTTGTATAGTTTCCAGTGTTTTATTTTCCATTGAACAGTTTTAGACAGTGGATCCCCCTGTCAGCTGCTGAGTTGCCTACTGTTCTATCCCTGTTTACCTCTGTCTAAACTAATAGGATAGCATCCTAGCTGGTCTGGGCTCACTCTGGTTTCATCCACCCCAGAACTCTGGTCCCTGCAGCCAGAGAAGCATTTTAAAACTGCAAAGCTGGTCATGTGTTAGGTGTCAAGATGAACCATTAACTGAAATAATCCAGAAGCCATGAAACCTTGGTCCTTGTTGACACAACACTGTTTTTGAAGGTAAGCTTGTGGTCAGCCCTAGGGGTGACTCGTGCAGGCCGTTCCCCTATGCCAGGGATTGGTCTAGGAATGGGCATGTGATCTGCTTCTGGATAATGAATGAGAAGGGTAACTGTCTGATGGCTCTAAAGGGTTCCCTGATGGAAAGAGAGCTGCACAAGGAGAAAGTTGCTTAGTTGCTTAGTCGTGTCCAACCCTTAAAGGGTTTCTCTTAACATGCTGTGTTGCCATGACACCTGGTCTCACCTTAAGCTAACTACTCACAAACCTTGAGTTAACCAATACATTTCTTTTTCTTATGGAAATGTTGTCTTAAGCTATGTTAATGAACCCCAGACTCTATCTTCAAGTTGGTTCTGCCAAATGGCCTAACTTACTTACTCAGGTATTGTTCCCCTAATCTATGTAAGCAGAACTATTTGTTGGTATTCTGCCCTTCTACAAGATTCAAGTCAATCGTTTTATGGCCAGGGATGAATTATCTGGTGCCATTCTAAATTTTATGACATACCTTTCTTTTCATTAACAGGCTGTGAGTGACTTTATAACATACAGCTAAAGACTAGGAGGGGGGTACTCTTTTGCCCCCTTCTGAGGCCTATGTCAGAAGCTTTCTCTATATCCTTTATACTTTAATAAACATTTATTACACAAAAGCTCTGAGCGATCCAGCCTCGTCTCTGGCCCCAGATTGAATTCGTCTCCTCCAGAGGCCAAGAATCCTGGCGTCTTATTGTTCAGCAACAACCTTTCACTATGAAGCTATAGGAATCAAAACAGTATGGTACTGGCACAAAAACAGACATACAGATCAATGAAATAGGATAGAAATCATAGGAAAAAGCCTATGCACCTATGGTCAACTAATCTACATCAAAGGAGGCCAGAGTACAGTACACAGTGGAAAAAAGACAGTCTCTCCAGTAAGTTGTGCTGGGAAAACTGGACAGTTGCATGGAAAAGAATGAAATTAGAACATTATCTAATACTATATACAAAAACATACTCAAAATGGATTTGAGACCTATGTGTAAGATTGAATATGGAAAACTTCTGGATGAAAACTTGGGCAGAACACTTTTTGACAGAAATCACAACAGCCTTGTTTTTGGATCCATCTCCTAAAGTAAAGGAAATGAAAGCAAAAATAAATGGGCTACCCAGGTGGCACTACTGGTAAAGCACTTGCCTGCCAAGGCAGAAAACATAAGAGGTGAGGGCTCAATTCCTGAGTTGGGAAGATACCCTGGAGAAGGGCATGACAACCCACTCTAGTATTCTTGCATGGGAAAACCCATGGACAGAAGAGCCTGGCGACCTGCAGTCCATGGGGTCACGAAGAGTTGGACACAACTGAGCAACTGAGCATGTAGGATCTCACTCAAATTGGAAGTGGCCTCATTCCTTGCAACAGCAATGCTCTCCTGACGGTGGCTGGTAAATGGCATGTTGGCAGCTGGGGGACTGAAAAGTGATCTGGCCTGTGCAGCCAGTGTTGCAAGTCTGACAGTCACGTTTTCTGACAAACCCATGGGCAAAGTGCTACTTCCCCCTCCCACTAGAACAGGCTAGACTGCAGGGTTGATGTGCAGAGCACAGAAATCACTGTTGATTGCCTGTTTCCACCTGAGAAACCACCTGGAGAGTAGGAGAAAGCCAAGAACAGAGATTTGGAGGTGGGGTGGAGGCTAGGAAGAAAAGACCTAACTTCTGTTTTCCTTTAAACCACTAAGGTCATTTTTTTCTCCGTGGTCCTTGCTCTTCTGTCATGAAAAAATTTCTTCTCCAGAATGAATGAAATCATGCTCCTAAGAACAACTCTTGCTAGGTGAGTAACTAACTGGAGCTTCAAGAAAGTCTCCACTCAAGAAACCAGGCTCAATTACTTCTGACTATGCGTGTGTGCTAAGTCGTTCATGGACTGTAGCCCACCAGGCTCCTCTGTCCATGGAATTTCCCAGGCAGGTATGTTGGAGTGGGTTGCCATTTCCTCCCCCAAGGAATTTTCCCTTCCCAGGGGTTGAACCGGGTCTCCTGCAGCTCCTGCACTGCCAGGGAATTATTTACCACTGGGTGGCGGTAGGGATTAAAGAACCCGCTTGCCAGTGCAGGACAAGACTGAAGCGATTTACCAGGCAGAGAGGAGCAACTGGCGAAGCCATTCGTGACTATGGAAGATGCAATGACCCTGCATTCACAGATATACAAGGCAGAGGACCACAGCACAAGGTGCAGTGAACACGTGGTGACTTGCCCCCTCCCCCTCCTGAAAGTGAAAGTGAGTCTCTCAGTCGTGTCCAAGTCTGCCACCCCATGGAAGCTCCTCTGTCCATGAAATTCTGGGGTTGCCATTCCCTTCCCCAGGGCATCTTCCTGACTCAGGGATTGAACCAGGCTCTCTCGCACTGCAGGCAGATTCTTTACCATCTGAGCCACCAGGGAAGCCCCTCCCCCTCCTGGGGATCTCGTTAATATGCAGATCTGCGCTGGGTAGTTGGGTGGAACCTGAGATCCCCTGTCTCTTCTCTGCACACAGGTGAAGGGGTGCTGCTGGTCCCGAATCACTGCAGAGGAGAGCAGCAGTCGGGGTGGGGGTGGGGAGGGTGGGTTGCAATGGAGACAAAGCAGCCAGAGTGGGGCTTGGCTCACCCCAGGCACAGGTGGACGCACCCTAGTGGTCCTCGAGAAGGCTCGGGATTTGTTCAAGCAGCCATGGCCCATCGTGGCTACTTTTGGCTTCTCGCTGGTTAGAGATCAGAGATCCCCTGGTGTCTCGGAATCACGGGAAAGAACGTGCCTGCAGTGCAGGAGACACAGGTTCAATTTTGGGCTCAGGAAAATCCCCTGCAGAAGGGAATGGCAATCCATTCCAGAGTTGCCTCAAGATTTCCATGGATGGAGGACACCAGCAGAGAATTGGACACAACTGAGCGACTTTCACTTTTCCTTAACGATCCAGCAAAGGATGGTGACGGTCCTGGAATCAGTCACTGTGTGCAGGAAAGTGTCAGTGCGTAATGCTGGGCATGGGATGCGATGCGATGGGACTAGCGTATGACTTCCCCAATCTCTTCTTTCCCAATGTGCCAGAGAGATGAGTGGATGGTCTTTTAGGGATGCGCTGGGGAATATAGGGGAGACGCCCACACCTCTCCCCAATCTCTCTCCTCGAGGAGACCCTGGATCCTGTGGTACATTTCCCCTGGACCTGGACAATGACTCCATCTGAAGCAGGGAAAGCACTGCCTAAGCCCTCTGAGGCCCCAGCCCAGCGACCCCGAGTTTGCCCCAGAATCCGCATCTCTTCCCAGGACCCCATGCTCTTCCTCTGGATTCTGTGTTGCTCCCTGGGACCCCAAGCCCTCTCCCAGTCCTGCATCCTTCCCCAGAATCTGGGTTCTCCTATCTCTGACCCCGTGCCTCTTCCCCAGACCACTTGCCCTTCCCTTGGTCTCGGAATTTCTTCCCTGGACCCGGTGCCCCTCCCCAGATTCCTTGCCAACGACCCAATTCCAAGTCCTACCTCTCACCACACGCACTCCTCCCCCGGACCCAGCACCCCTTCCCAGGATCCTAGCACCCTCTCTTAAGCTTGGTATCCCTTCCCTGCACCCCGTTGCCCTCCTCAGACCCCCAGAGTCCTCTGGGAAATCCCAGGGACTCCATGTTCTTCCCAAGACCCTGTCCTCCCAGCCTCATCTGTGATCCTGAGCCCTCTCCCTGGACCCCCCTCTGTTCCTTGGAGCACTCTCCCCTATCCCAAGCTCTGAGGCCCTCTCCCCATCTCTGAAATCTGCTTATTGCCCCTACACCCCACCACAGCCCCACATCGTTTTCTGACCCCACACTCTGCAGCTTTCTCCAGACCCTGGAGAAACCCAGTGTCTTCTTCAGAAACCCATAGCCCATCAGCCAGCACCCCTCATCCCTCCCCAAGCCCAGAGCCCCCCTCTGTCATGACCTTCCCAGGACACCTGGGCCTTCTCCCAAGCTTCTGCCCTTCCCAGGGTCCTTTGCCCTTCTCTGGATTCTGCCCCCACCCACCCCTGTCCCCACCCCCAGGACCTGCTCCCATTTCCAGCTCTTGCCAGGTGCACGGGCTCACTGCACTGCCCCCTCCCACTCTGCTGTTGGGTTTTGTGTCTGAGCAGCAGGTGACTGAAGTCCAGTGGGGGGACTTCTGGTGGCCAGGGGCCTCCTGTCTCCAATCCCCCCCCCCAACCTGGTAGGCTGGGTGGCCTACTTCTTAACTGCCCACTTCCCCCAGGAGTGACAGCCAACTCCGTGCCTTGTTTTGCCCCTTAGGCAGTGGGGTGGAGCCCCAGCGAGGCTGTCCAATGATGTTGACCTGGGCTGTTTTGAACTGGAGACTTCCTCCCCTTACTTTCTCAGTGGTCCTGTCAGTGCTTCTAGATAGTTCCTCATCAGCAGTGTGAAGCACAGATTTGAGGTCCTGGGAGTACAGAGCAGTTAGAAGACCAGAAAGAA